TTTTTTTATGAATAGGTCTAGACTTTGTTTGAACCACTAGATCCAACATATCTGGACGGTCGCCTCCTAGTGTCCCTACCACATTGATGTTGCCTGCTTGAGTGTGTGGGGAGGGGATTAGTTTCTACTTGGATCGACTTTCCTTTAACAAAGTCGTCTAGTTTTACATTCTACACGAATAGCCGCCAAAGTGTGAAATAGTCCATCAGATCGTGGTTTAGCGACTGGCAGTAATTGCACCACCTTCCCCCAAGCCTCTCTTTCTCCAAGTCGATTCCTGGTGGTGGTGGTGGCAAGTTGATTATATGATCCTCCACCAACTTGTCCATTATCATGATTACCTCACTTTTGTTGTAGGAAAAAGGAGGAGGGGGTGGAGGCAGTGGGTTGTTCCATTGGTTCTGGTTGCCACCACGGTAATAGGGTCCCTAGTTAGGCCTCCTAGTGTTTCGGGGCCTCTGATTAATTTCGTATGCCTCATTCCTTCCATATTGCGATGCCGCTGGGACAAACTGAGGTGTGGTGTTCTTTATAGTACATACTATCCTCTCTTCACACTTCCACAGCTGACTAAACGTTTCAACTTCAATGTTTTCAATGCCTATCCTTTGGGTTGGGTGCATCCCTTGTACACACTGTTCAACAAAGCTCTTCTCAGTGGCATGTTCACCAAAGACTAAGTGAGTCGATTTTTGGAACCTCATGACATAAGCCAAAGAGGTCCTCCCCCGCACATTGTTCTGTATTGCGCAGGTGTGCCATCATTAGCCTCCGCTCCAAGGTGAACCATTTGGACAAAAATCTTTTCGCCAACTTTGCCCACAAGTCTATATTACTCACAGTTAGATTAACGAACCATGTGTATGTAGGTCCGGTTAGGGATTTGGAGAACTTTCATACTTTTAGGTCCCCGTTCAAGGCAAACGATTCTGAGGCGTCTTCAAACTTGTTCACATGCTCTTGTGGGCTTCCTTTCTGCCCATCATATTGTGGCGGGGACGTAACCAAAAGGATATGGTTTGTATAAGATGTAGTCAAAATAGGGTATTGGAGTATCAGTGCAGACTGGTCCTTGTTCTGGCTCTCCTCCATCAGGCCCTAGACATATTCTTTCAGTTCGTCACAGTTGATGGGCGCTTCCGTCACCACGTTATTTTGTGGGACCATATGGAGCTATTCAGTAGTGAACAAGCGGGTTCTTTGTGTTGTATCTTGTGTAAGCACGGGGTTGGTTCTAGATGGATGCTCGTTCATGTTGGGGTTCAGGTTTGCAAGGTGGTTAGCCGGGATGGATGTAGAAGGGCCGGTGGGGGAGAATGGGGAATGCTCGATTGCGAATGACCTTTGGAGGAGTAATTGCAAGGTTCTTCTCATCTCAACCTGCATATGCTCTATGCGATCAAAACGAGTCTCAAACTCATACACCTTATTGGAAAGAATTTTGATGTCAACCTGCTCTGTCGACTCCTGTCCGGTTTGGTCTCCGATCTCTGGTTAATATTCCCTTGCTCTTCTGGGATTGGGGAAAGATTAATTTTGCGGGCGGCCATCCTTCATGATCAAGGAATAAGCCAAAGATTCTAATGTGAGTGCAGTGGTAAGGTTACGTACGGGGGTCTCCTTGAAAAACGAAGGAAGGATGAGGCCAAAGGGTAGGCTAAAGGTGTTGATTGATAAAAGGTTATATTTGTTATGAGATGGGCCTCCTTTTATAGGGAGAGATCCCAAGATTCCAAAAAGAATGAGCCAAAAGAGTTTGATTCCTACTTGGAAAGAGAATCTTTGATTTGGTGTCAATTGTCAGGGGGACACCGTTGGGGTTTCGTCACGTGTCTTATGAGATCTCTCAATGACGAGGTTTCCTTTCATTTGAGGGATTCTCATAATTCACATATGCCACTTCCTTTTGCAAGTCTCCTAGACTAACGTAGCGCAGGTGATGTCAATACTAATCTTACGTGTCTCTCTTAATCCTATTGGGCGTCTTATCGCGAGTGATGTTGGTCAGTCGTTATCTTTCTTCGCTCGTTGATGATCTATGGTGGCTGTAAACTCATCACAGAATTGTGGTGGCTCTGAGCTTTGTGCTCATCACAGATCTCTAACAACTTCAAATTCATCTTTGGCGCTATAGCTTTGAGTCTTTTGCAAGTCTGTGGTGACCCTGAACTCATCACAAGCTCGTTTTAGGCTTTGAGCTCATCGCAAGTCTGTGTAGGCTCAGAGCTCATCGTAGATTCGTGTTGAGTCGTAAACTCATCACATGTGTCTCTATGATATCGGTTTAGCACCTTATGTGCTATTACAATTGTGGTGATCAACATATACCTACAAGAAGAAAAAGAGAGGCCAATGGTGGAGATCGGAGTAGGTTCCACCGCTCTAGTGCTTTAGGAGAATAATGACGTTAAGGACAACTGAGGTATTTGTCTATTTTTTTTAAAATAAAGATGAGGTTTTTGCTAAAGTGAAACTATGGAAGAGATTTTTATGATTGTCAGAAAATTCAGGGGAGGTTTTGTATTTTACCCTTTTTTTCATTTGAGAGGAAATGAAATGTTACTGAGCCGATTTGCTTTTGTTCCAGCCTTCCAACAGGTTTGAATTTCCTTTTCTAACTAAAAGACGCAAATAAATATAGAAACAACAATTTCCTACCCACAGCAGAGTGGGCAGACTTCTTATTCATAGCGGAAGTTCACCCCTTATTCATACCAGGAATACATACTCCTTAATTATTACCAGTGAAACCAGAAAGACAGATGCAGAAAGGAAAATCATCAGAATCCCTAATTAAGCTTAAGGGCAGAATGTGATCAAGTAATCAGAGCCTGCGCAAGTGAACGTGCTGGTGGGATCATCATATGCGTAACTGTACGCCATCGGACATGCCCTCTTGAACATCTGCGAGTACTGAGAGGGCGAGCAAGTCTGCGGCGTGTTGTGGTTTCCGGTGCAACAATACTCCGGCGTGTTAAACGCTGTACATGCGCTCTTGCATGCGACCACGTTACCGGCCGAGTCCTTCAGTTGCAGGACCGCCGGGCAGCTCCCGTTGATGTCAGCAACGCATTGAATGTCTTTGCAGTCTCCTGTCCCACCAGTAGGCTTAATTCCCATATTCACGTTGTATCCATCCACGAGGCTGATGTCGTAGTATTCCATGTCATTGTTAGTGCCAGTCTTGAATTCAGCAAGTGTAACGGGTGGTACACCAGCGCCTCTACACTTCAATCCACCGCAGTCGCCAGTGGTGCACCTACCGTTGCCGGAGCCGTCGAAGTTGCATCCGGTGCGAGCCCAGAATCGGCCTTCCCATCCCGGAGGTGCAGTGACCTGCGATGTTGCACCGGGCGCCAAGAGGAAGCCACCGTCTCCGAGGACGGGACCTCCGTTGTTAGCTAAGGTTCCTGGCCAGACAGTGTAGCTGCACTGGTTTTTGAACGTGAACACAGTTGCGGAGGCTCTACTCCCTGCAATTGAAATAAAAAAGTAAAAACCATTAACCATCCTGTGTCAGAATGATAGCTTAAAGATTCACATTCGGTGATCGGCGTAGGATGAACCAATTAAACCAAATATGCATGCATATGGTGACTGGTGAGGAATTATATATGTTGCACATTAGAAAGAAGAGGAGTACTATCAGATCTTCTGCATAATAAATGTCGCAAAACAAAACGACTGAGTTTAGGGTTACTTACCAAAGAAGAAGAAGAAGGAGAGAGTAAGAAGAACAGATGAAACCTTTTGCCAGGAGGCCATTGGATATACAGTGAAGAGAAGAGAGTTCTCTGTATCTGTCTAATTAGAGAGAGAGAGAGAGAGAGAG